CATTAGCCATTATTCTACATCTTCCATAAAACTCATTAACCATTATTCTACATCTTCCATAAAACTCAATAGCCATTATTCTACATCATCCATAAAACCCATTAGCCATTATGCCACATCTTCCATAAAACTCATTAGCCATTATTCTACATCTTCCATAAAACTCAATAGCCATTATTCTACATCATCCATAAAACCCATTAGCCATTATGCCACATCTTCAATAAAACCCATTAGCCATTATTCCACACTAAAGCCCATCAACCTCCGCACATTGTGTCTCCCACACAAAATAGCCACCCTTCCAGCAGCCGACTCGTAGGACTCACGTAATTGCCCGACTGCTGTCCTGGCGTCACTTGCTAGTAACATTGGATAGCCCTGAAAGGCCACACGTCAGTCGTGTGTGACTTGTGCTAGTGACTAATGGTCCAGACTGTTGCCACCCTCATTATGTGAGCACTCTGCATTTTGTTACCACGACACGCCTGTATGTTCCTTTTTTTGTTGTTAGTGTTGCTGTTTTGTGTTAGAAGTTATGAACACCACGCGAGCGCATATTGAGCTTGTTCTTACGTCCCACCCACACCACCTGACCTCCCACTCACACCAACTGACCTATCACCCACACCAACTGACCTCCAAACCACACCAACTGACCACCCACACCAACTGACCTCTCACTCACACCAACTGACCTCTCACTCACACCAACTGATTTTCCACCCACACCAATTGACCTCCCTCTCACACCAATTGACCTCCCACCCACACCAACTCCCATACAGTTATGTCAATGTTCATCAGTACTTTGTGTAAGGCCCCAGGCTTCGGTCGCACTGTCTCTCCCATCTTTGAATGATGCGGTGTGTGCGTATCACGTGGTGCAATTCACCTGGACACTCCGCACATACTTAAAATCTCTAGAGATGCTTCCCTGTCATTTAGGTTCTTTGTTTCAATGTCACTTGATGTGGTTTAGGTTTACCCCCCCCCCCTCCCCCCCCCCCCGGCCTTTAAGGGTCCTGGCCCTCAAAAGATTTCCTAATTTTACCACAATTTTAGGATACAAAATTGAGAATATTGTTCATTAAAAAATAATAATTTAACAATATCTAAAATTGATGAGGCCCCCCCCCCAACCCCTGTTATTTTGACTACCTAGATATCCAAGGGGTCTTTATCCAGCCTGCGTGGTTTATTTATGGTTAAAATAGTGCCCCACTTTTTGCTGGTACATAATAAACCGGTTAATGTATCCACCTTAAGTGTTGCAACACATGGTTTCATTTAGAGACCTGACATCCATAGATATACTCGAAAACCATCAAGTTTAATTAATAACGCCGGCAACCATAACAAAGATGTGGACCCAGTCAAAGGTACTGCCCGATTCATTCATCGTGTGGGCTTGTTGTAGGAAGTTTCTTCTTGAAGCAGCTTCCACTTCAAGGAATGGCTTCTTCCTTTTATCAAATACCCCCCCCCCCCCCCCCCCCCGACCCACATTGTTATCTCCCTCATACTGGCTTATTTGTTGACAGTCTCTCGACCCTTGACCTTCTACTCTGACCTGGTGATCCCATCCCTTCATGCCCCTCTTCCTGCCTAGATCTGCCCAACTTATGGATGTAATGTTGTAGGGATGTAATGTTGTTGGTTTGTGCTAAGTGGCTCGAATCAACATACAAATTTAATTTAAAAATAAAAGCACTATTGTGATCTCCTTAAGTTGGGACATTTGACTTCTCCTTTTACCCCAACCTTTCAGGGTATCTATCAGCTGTCACCTCTCATGTTTATTGGCAAAACACAAATTTCATATCTTTAATATGGTCACAACAATACTAGTCATACAGAGCAGAGCAGGGCGTCATTTGGTTAGGGCAGGGTGGGACATTTTCAACCCCCCCCCCCCCGAATTTTCGGGTTTTATTTAAATAGCTATGTACTGTTGCACCTCCAGGAATTAACAACTTAAGCCCAACAAGTTTTGGGTTTTGCGCCCTCCCCCCATCACAAAACCTGAAATGACGCCCCTGGAGCGGAGCCGGGGTAGGCCCTATTTCAAAATGGTGGTTACAGCTATAGCTCTGTTGGGACAACTGCAGTTGAAAGTTATTTGCACCAGTAGTTAACCAATCATAAATTTGCATTATCTTTATTTTGAAAATTTTCAAAAAAATCCTCCGACCCCCTTCTTTTGTTTTGAATTTTAAAAATGTTGATCTATTAAAATGTCTTACAAGAATAAGCTAAGAGGTGTATTGGTGAGGGGGGAGGCAGGGGTTGCTAGAGTTAGTGCTTCCTGGATCGGGCCAGGCTCTTTGTCTCCCCCTTCTATGAAACAAACTCTACAGTTGGCAGAAAACCCCACACCTCACTATAAAGGGGAAGTAATACCACCCGAGGGTGGACTACTCCTCCGATACTCCCCATCTGCACCCCCTCCGCACGCCCCCTCTGCACCACCCCTTCCGCACTAGCCCCTCCGTACCCTCCCTCCCCACTACTCCAATCCACACCAGCCCTTTTGCACCACCCCTCCGTACCCTCCCTCCTCACTACCCCATCCACACCAGTCCTTTCGCACCACCCCTCCGTACCCTCCCTCCCCACTACCCCATCCACACCAGCCCTTTCGCACCACCCCTCCACACCCTTCCTCCCCACTACCCCATCCACACCAGCCCTTTCGCACCACCCTTCCCCCCTCCCCCCCACCCCCTCCACACCAGCCCTCTCGCACCACCCCTCCACACCCCCCCCCCCCCCTCCCCCCTCCACACCACCCCTTTCGCACCACCCTTCTCCGTACCCTCCCTCCTAACTACCCCATCCACACCAGCCCTTTCGCACCACCCCTCTGCACCCTTCCTCCCCACTACGTCCTCCGGTTCATCCCCTCCGCACCACACCTTTCAAACCACCCCTTTCGCGCCACCCCCTCCTCACCACCCTGCCTATGCCTATCAAAGATTAGATCTCCAAGGTTTAAAGAAGTCGGCTTAAAGAGGTTGGTTAAAAATGATGTCCCATGGGAACAAACTGAATATTAAGTCAAATGAATGGCTTTGAAAAAAACAAAACCCACTTGTATTAATCAATACATAAAACATCTCTCTTATTTATTCTCGCTGGTATTAACTGATTTTCTGTTAGTGCTATTTCAAACTGGCCTCTAATGGCTTTTTATATGAATAGCCAACACAATCATGGTGAAAAGACATTGATCATTTTTTTTCCAGTCAATGAACAACGCATGCCAGTCCCAGCCAATAGCTATAAACCTTGGATGAATAAACCTTGGATGACAGTCTGGGAAACAAAGGGGGATTAATCAATAATGGAGCCTAACCCCAGCACTGGCAACCCATTTAGTGTCAGCTTATAACAACTCCTAATTTTGTTTCAAACAACCACCACCACCACGCCCTTACCCCCACCCCCCCCAAAAGAAAAAAACACACAAAAAAATCGTTTTGTGTCCTAAATTTCTTGTTAAAGAAAATTTTAGATAATTGGGATATAAGTCCATAAAGTCCATACCCGAAAATATTGGGATAAAAGTCTATACCCAAAAATGTTTAGATTTTTTAAATAACATTCTATTCTATGTCAAAAAATATTTAGATTTTTTTTTATCTAACATACTATTCTATGTCAACAAATATTGACTAAAACCTCCCACAACACACAAACACACAATGTACAGAGTGCCACAATGTTACTGTAACAATTCTTTGAAACTAACTGTGGTCAATCTAGTTGAATGTCTATGAAATGGCTTTTAAGAATGTTTCACAGTTTCATTTGTTTGAGTGTTTAGACAATGTCACCAATTCAATCGGATGTGATGTGTTAAAAGATGTACAAAATGAGATGGACCACATACTTTTAAAGTTTCTAACAAGATGCAATGAGCCTTTGGTCACAGCAGTGTTCTGGACCTAATTTTTTGGTGGTGTATTGTTCACCATAAATTCCAGGTGACAGCTGTGAATGTGACAGCTCAGGACACCCCGACAGTCACAGTGACATACAAGGCAAGCTGTTTCTTGAGAGGACCTGCCGTCGTCGAGACAAAGAGTACCATGTGAAAAATGGAAACTACATGTTGAATACTCTCATGGCTGCTTTAGAGTAGTTTTTGTATTTAATCAATATTTTCATTGTCTGTCTTATCAAAGGTCTCTCTCTCTCTCTCGGTTCTCTTCTTTGGAGGTTTAAAGAATTGAATTCCCTTCACTTTTGTCATTAATTAGTGCACAAAAAACATGATTTGGTGCATAAACATGGTGATTTGGTGCAAAAACAATCTGAATTGGTGCAAAAACAATGTGATTTGGTGCACAAACATGATTTTTTGCACATAATTAAACAAATAAAAAATTAAAAAGTTTATTCTATTTGTTATTTTGATATGCTATGGAAAGAGCTGTGAGTTGAATAAAATAACCAGTGCAGCTCTGCATTTATGAAAGTAGCAACAGATGTACTTAATACACATAATTAAGATATGATTTGTGTTTAAATACTCCCAATATCAGTGTGCTGGTAAAACTTGTTGATTTTAAAAAAGGAAAATTGATGTGAAAGGGACGGCTCCAGCTCCAGCAGCTTTATGTTTGTATACACATTGGAGCTCAACTGGTATGGATGCCTGCATTCACACATGACACCATTTTAGTGCACACCATTGCACACTTCATTGTCCGATTTATCAAATTAGAACAGGCCTGCACAACTTAAAATGAAAGGCGAGCCTTAAAACTTTAAAACTTTATGAAAAACTTGTGCAGGCCGAAAGATAATAGGAAAGGGGGGAAAGCTATTAAAATAATAATAATAAAGAATATTACGGGCCGCAAAGTGGGTGCTGATGGGCCGGATGGGGCCCGCGGGCCTGAATTAGAAGATCAATGTTCTTGTAGGACACAATGTAACACATAAAAATATAAGTCTTAGTTTTTTAATTTTTTTTTTGCTTTTTTATTTCAGACTGCCCCAAACAAAAACATTTAGTAAGCAAGGACTTGACCAAAACGTTTGTCGTCCAAAACAGGAACCCTAAGTTAGTGGGGGTCACCTGAACCAAGTACCAATCTGTTTCTGAACTACTAACATTAGAACACCCAGGATAGAAGGGAGTCCGCAAGCGTAAGAAAACATCTCCCTGTGAGACAGGGCCCGTCACTATGGCCACACTTTCGCTGAAGATCAGTGTGGTGGACCAGAGCGTCATCAAAACGATGCAGTTTGAGCCGGCCACCATTGTTTACGATGCATGTCGCATTATTAGAGAACGTATCCCAGAGGCCAACCCTGGAAATCGTAAGTATCTTAGAAAGGCTTCACTCCAGCTGATGACTACTTGGAGTAGTTGATTAGTTTTTGTTTAAATTAGTGACTGTGTTGTCTTTAACCTGTCTCCTTCCTGTTTCAAATAATTTTTTAAAATTTTTTTGTTTTTGGGGGGGTGTGGGGGGGGGGGGGGGGGTGTTCCAGCTTTAGTGTCTTGATTTCTTTTAACCCTTTCTTTCATTTTAATGGTAACTTAAGGTCTCCATAGATCCGTTCTTCATTTGGGGGCTGCACTCAGATGAATGGTTAAATGCTACTTTACTTGGCTAGCATAAAAAAAATAAGTAATAGCAGAAAATAATATAGAATAATGTGAATAAAGGCGAGCTGGCAAGAATCTTTGATACACCCATTCATTAAAATTGAGTCTTTGATACATCCATTCACAAAAAATTGAGTCTTTGATACACCCATTCACAAAAAATGATGGTTTTTACTATTCAGCATGATGCAATCACAATTCCCAATGTTTCATTCCATTTTTAGCGTCTGAATATGGCTTGTTCTTGGCTGATGAAGACCCCAAGAAAGGAGTTTGGCTGGAGCAAGGCAGAAGTCTAGAGTATTACCTCCTGAGGAATGGGGTCAGTGGCTTTAGCAGATTGTTATCACTCTCTTACGAGTGTTAAATAATTGATACCTCATGTGTGTCACATGCCCAAGCATTTAAGTTTTCCATTGACATACAAACCGCACTATTGATCTTGATGTAGATGATGACGGCCGCTTTCTGTCAGAGCTGTTATTTAATTTTTTTATTTTACTGTGCGAGAATTTGAGTCCAAAGGAGGCTGATCAGGTTTCTTGTTTCTGTTTTCTCTGTGCCACAGGATCTTCTGGAGTACAAGAGAAAACACAGGATCCTGAAGGTGCGAACACTGGATGGGGTCCTGAAGACTTTACAAGTGGACGATTCTCACACTGTGGGATCTCTCATGATAACCATCTGCACCAGGATGGGTCAGTCTTAAATTGTAGCTCTAAATAAGAAAAACATTTTTTGTTTGGATAGATGCTTCGAAAAGTAAAATCTCTAACGGCCTTGGAAAGACAAATAGAGACATGTGCACATCCCTCTTCCAGATGTAAGTGCGCCGATGAATAAATTGTTTAACAGAAATCTCATGTTTATACCGCAGGTATCACAAATCACGAGGAGTATTCCCTCGTCAGAGACCTGCCAGATGACGAGAAAGAAAAAACCCTGACTTTGAAAAGAGACAAATCTATTGCCAAAGATCAGAAAAGACTGGAAGAAATGAAGAAGAAGCTTCACACAGATGATGAATGTGAGTTGCCGTGTTACAGGGTTTTTGAGCTATGGCCAAGTCTTGTCAATGTCTGATGTATGGCTAAATCACGAACTGTCATTACTTTAGAAAAACTGCAGACAAATAATATTTTGTGGGGTTTACTTGTTCTGTTTTCTTCTTTTTTTTGTTGTTTTAACTTCCATTTACTTGTGTTTAGGAATTTATACACTTTTCAGAAGTCTTGCTAGACTTTGTTGTTTTTAAACAATTTTTCAAACTTGGCATGTGTGTCTTTGTTTGAACTTCTTTGGAGCCATTTTTTACCGATTCCCACAGACTTGGAGTGCTTAAATTTAATGCATTGTTAGCTATTTTAGAGACATTTGAATATGTCAAAACTTAATGTTTCCTCAAATGACCTGACCATTAGAAATGTATAATTTAACACACACACACACTAAAAAAAAAAAAAACAAACGAGGGGAATGTTTTAACCAAGTTTTTGTTTCTGAATTGTTAATAAATTTAATGCATTGTTAGCTATTTTAGAGACAATTGAAAATGTCAAAACTTAATGTTTCCTCAAATGACCTGACCATTAGAAATGTATAATTTAACACACACACACACTAAAAAAAAAAAAAACAAGCGAGGGGAATGTTTTAACCAAGTTTTTGTTTCTGACTTGTTAACACATCTAGCTTGTTAATTTGTAGTGAACTGGTTGGACCACTCCAAAACTCTGAGAGAGCAAGACATAGATCCCAACGAAGTCTTGCTACTGAGAAGGAAGTTCTTCTACTCTGATCAGAATGTTGATGCCAGGGATCCAGTCCAACTTAACTTGCTCTATGTTCAGGTAGTGCTTTTGACCATAAGTTATTGACCTCAAATGCTTTGGGCTTTATAGTAAACTAAATAAACAATTATACTGATTATGAAATTCAGTTCTTTTGCAATATATTAAAAACTTTGAACACTGAATAGCTTTGAAATAAAAACAATTTACAAGCAAAAAGATTTAAAAAACATGGATTTTATACTTTTTCAAGCATATTAATAACTGTAGTAGATATAGGTGAAAGATCCTTAGAAACCTTGATCAAGTTGCTGATATATGCACTGTCTCTAACCGCTGATTCATATGACCAACTTGTTTGTATTTCTCCTTCAGTCCCGTGATGCAATCCTCAATGGCACCCACCCTGTGTCTATGGAAGAGGCCATCAGCTTCGGAGGTCTACAGTGTCAAGTCCAGTTTGGTGACCACATAGAGTCGAAACATAAACCCGGCTTTGTAGAGTAAGTGGATCTTTATAATCCAACTTCAGTTAAACTCAAAGGCAGTAGTTTGTGGGTTTGGTCACTAAATTTTTGTCTCTTAACTATGTGATCATCTAATTGATTAAGAATGTCGTGTGCGGCTCGATGAAGCTCAAAGTATTTTTGTGGTTTGAATTGATACACAAACTAGAGCAACTTCTCTGAAAGGCTTTTAGCTGACATGTTTTTTTTCACTCAACTGATTTACATCCTTCGTTACCCAATTCACCATATTCCTATGTGATGAAATCAATAATATCAATGGTGACAGGTATTCTTTTTTACTCTTTTTTGTACTCTTTTTGTTTAGTCGCATAAAAAAAATATGTTTTACAAGTTAATTTTTTAAAGAATTAAGCTAAAAAAAATCATTTGTATAACATTTGAGTTGCGCTATCCCAGTCGCTATTAAATTATTCCAGTGGCATTAAAGCTCTTGGTCCAGATTCGTCATGAAGAGTAACAATTTCCTTCTTAATGTTTATTTCAGCTTAAAAGAGTTTTTGCCCAAGGAGTATGTCAAAATTAAAGGCATTGAAAAGAAAATTTTCATTGTAAGTATTTCAATCATTTTTACTGTTTTTCTTTTTGAGAGTTTCTTGTTGTAAAATTTTTTAGAACATTTTTCCTTATTCAATACCTTAAATTTACAACACATTTACTTAACAAGATCTCATAAACAACATTGAATTATAACAACATATTTTCTCCACAGGAACATAAGAAATTTATTGGCCTGTCAGAGGTTGAAGCCAAAGTGAAATATACCCAATACTGTAGGTCTTTGAAGACCTATGGAATCACATTCTTCCTTGTCAAGGTCAGTTTTAATTTTACACCAACAAGACAAGTGCTTAAAACTTTCAAATGCATTAGAAACTTGATTGACTGGACTTGAGTAGTGAACTTGTGTAGTCAAATTATGAAGTCAACTTGTGAAGTCAAATTGTGCAGTCATCTTGTCTAGCCAAATTGTGCAGTCATCTTGTGTAGCCAAATTGTGTGGTTAACTTGTGTAGTCAAATTGTGTGGTCAAATTGTGTAGTCAAAATGTGAAGTCAGATTTTGTTGTCAAAATGTAAATTCAACTTGTATAGTCAAATTGTGTGGTCAACTTGTGTTGTCAAATTGTGTAGTCAGATTGTGTTGTCAACTTGTGTAGTCATAGTGTGTGGTCAAATTGTTTAGTCAGATTTTGTTGTCAACTTGTATAGTCAAATTGTGTAGCTCATATAATAACAAAAATTGTGGATAATTAATGGCGGGATAATAGATGTAATAAAATAAAATTTCATCTGAAAGTAATTCAATAATCCATACGAGAAAAACAATATGCCTGTCCCTTCTTCAAGATAAAACCGTACACTCTCTTGCTCTACTTAAAAACTAGTTCCCGCTTTTCTCATGATTTACATCGTTCTCATTAAATCACTACGCCATTGTCTCGTGAGAATGAATATTAGGGTCGTGTGAAAAATCATAGTTAACTTGGTCTGTAACAATATTTAAATAAAAAAATCTATAGTTCTGGTTAAAAGCTTCATAATTAAAATTTTCTGTTATTGTTTTTTTTTTGGTCTGACTCAAAATACGGTTTTAATGATGCTCCCTGCCTTTGAAGATGTAGATCCTACATTGTTTGGTCACAGCATAGGAGTATTGATGATTCAACTCAACAACTTTCAGTTATATGAGTTTTTGTTGTATCAGTCAGAGTTTTAAACATTATGTGGTGTCTTCTGCACATGTAGTCAATAAAATAAGATGCATGTATGTAGCAGTTTTCATGTTAACATCTTGAGACCTAAAGAAAATGGCAGCCTTCCTGCTTATGGTTGACATAGATGTAACTTCTATAGTTTCATATGTAGATCTTTTGAGTTGTTTTGAGTTTCTTTTGCTGATAAGGACCGTGGCACGGCAGTGGAGCACAGCTGTTCCTGGTAACATGCATCTTCTAAATGTGCTGCCCATTGTGTTTGCCATTATCTTGCCACAATGTGTTTCCAATCAAGTTTCTGTTTGTTTGCACCCACAGGAGAAGATGAAAGGCAAGAACAAACTGGTGCCCAGACTTCTGGGTATAACCAAGGAGAGTGTGGTGAGAGTGGATGAGAAGACCAAGGAGGTGAGTGCCTATTGGGTGGTTACATCTCAACCATGTTACAGACAATTAATGAACTATATCTCGGGCAATTCATGTACTGTCTTCCAGCTAATTAATTTAACAATATTCCAGTCAACTAATGAACTATATTTTAGTCAGTTAAAACGTATTTCTCATGTTTATCAAAATAATCCATGAACCATTTTATCCATTATGCCCATGTGTTGTTTGTGATTTGTCCAGTTCATCAAAGACTGTTGAGTGTGAAATGTGATCAAATCAATTCGTCGGAAGTTTTGAGAACATAACTGTTGATCCTTGATTTTTTGACACCTGCTCTTGAAAGCAGCATTAATTAATGGAACTATCAAAATAAATTCTTTTGAAAGAGAAAAAAAAAAAAATCAAATTGTTAATTATACAGTTAGGCATATTCAATCTCCGAGCTCTGTTTACACTGCTAGCTTCTTGAGGGGATTCCTCATTATGTTAGGCACTTAATCATTTTTTAAACACTGTTATGTTACTTTTTTTTTTTACTCTTTAATCAGAATAAAAAAAAAGGTGGGGGTGGGGGCAAGTTAGTACATGTAAAATTAAAGGGACCATTTCCCCTAGCTAGGGAGCTCATTATAAGTCAAACTCATCATTAAACTGTGAGTGGTTGGATACATGAAGAGGAACTGTATAAAACTTTTGATATATCAGCAGCTCTCAAAACTAAAGCTTTATTATTATTTCGACAGTGAGTTTTAAGATAAATTCTGTAATTTTTTTTTCTTCAGATTTTGAAAACTTGGCCATTAACCACAGTACGCAGATGGGCAGCCTCACCCAACAGTTTCACCCTGGTAAGGCATGACCGTAATTATGGCCTTTTTGTTTCTTTCATCTGATACATTATGTGAGACTTATGTATCAACTAATTTAACAAAGAAGTCCTTGTGTTGAACTTATGAACACTTGAAATACATCTAATTGAAGTGTGCTTAGTTACTTTCTTCGAAGTGTCTACATGTCCGGCGTGCCGGACAAATAGTGTGGGAGATATATGTCCGGCGAGCATGTCACGTGACCGCTGGGCGACTAGTAGGCGTTATTATTCCGAAGGAAGTAGCTACTTAGAAGATTTTGTGTGGTCATGTGTTAGTGTGGCAGCTTGACGATATTACAATTGTGGATCGATTCCCCGCTTGGGAACCCGTTCCCCCCCCCCCCCATTTTAATTAAAAATATTTTATATTATGTTTATATTATCATGTTCATCAGCAACAGTAGTTTTATGAGAAGTTTT